CTTAATTACATATTAAATTATTATATTAAATCAACTACATAAAACTTAATTATATATTAAATTATTTTAATACTCCTGCTATTTACTTCACAAAAACTTGATATATGACATGTATTTTTAAAAAAAATTATATATATATATAATTTATCTACCTATTCATCTATTATTAATAGAAAATGAACTATATGACATATATTGTTGATAGCTGTCCTTTTAAGGACATTAAAAGAATTATCTTTATTAGTTAATGGCAATATAAATACTTTAGGATTAATTAAATAATGTGAAACTGGTGAATAAAAAACGGATAAAATATTCTAAAAGAGATGGGGAATTTAGGCTAACGAAAAGAGAGAGGAACAAAAGGATGAGATGATAGTGACTCAAATCATGCGACAATTAATGAAGTTGCAAATGAGAAGAACAAAAAAAGGAAAAAAAACCAATAAAAATAGAAAGGAAAATGAAGGACTTGGTTCAATTTTGCTACATGGTATGGTTGAAGGTTTGAGACTTCCATATACATCTATCGTAAAACAAATGTATATAAAGTATCTTCTTGCAAGTTAAAACTTCTGCTATTTTTTCTTAAAATTTTTAAATGAATTTAGATTGCTTTAATACACGAATAATATAATAAGATTGTGACATGAAAAATTGTAATAAATTTATATAATTACTTTATTTCATAATTTTTTTCGCATGAAATTATATATATCCCAAAATGAAACTTAAAATTCTTTTCTAATTATTATATATTATCTAGTACAAATTTTTTTATTCATGTAATATCAAAGTATATAATAAAAAATAATTATCAATCATTTCATAAGTTTTATTTTATCTATTTCAAGATTTACATTAAAACTTTCAAAAGAGTTTACAACTTTTTTTTTTATTTATTAGTTACTATTGAAGTTGAAACACATAATTTTTAATATTAATTTTAATATTGTAGACACTTAATTTTATCTATCTGAATTCAGTCAACTTTATTCGATCTTTTTGCTTAATTTGCATGTTTTAATTTGGGGTATTCGAAAATTTTAGTTAAATTTATCTTATGTGACCAGTCGAGGTTTTTTTTTCGTTTTTTTTGGGGTACAATTTAAAATTATATCATTTGGGTTTACAAGTCCCAGTCTGTTAGTAAAAGCCCAAAACCCATTATGAGCCCAGATTTAATTTTTAGGCCCAATTTCATTTTATTATGATTTATTAAAAAAAAAAGAAAGGAAAAAGCCTGAAGTTGCGACTGCCATGGCAACCAGCTTTCCATACTTCCCAAAAGCCCTTCCTTTTAGATTGATCCTTATCTCCAATTTTTTCCCTCTATATTTACCCACTGATCTTTTACATGAATTGGTAAAAAGTGACCCAATATCCTAGAAAAAGCATGCTCCATATCCGAAAGTGCAGCAATAACTGCTGCAACAACATTCCAAAGACAACAGTCCTTAGAAATCTCAGAGGATCTTCTATTTGCAGGTAGTCTTATCAGGGGAGACTTGGACAAAAAAGAAAATTTTCAGGGGGAGCCTCAGGAACCAAAAATCCTACCCTCCATTGCAACCAGCACTTAAACTTCAACCACAGACACCACCAACATCACCATAATCGGCTTTGCTGAAACCCAAAAAGAAAACCAGTTTTTCCTTATTACCAAAGAACACTCGCTCCTGCACTTACCCGGCACCATCACCAATTCCAACCACCTACCATTCGGCCGGCTCACAGACTACGGCCAATTTCCATTTGAATAGAGCAAAATTGCCATCAACAGCTTACCAGTAATAGACCTTCACCCAGAAATCACATATAGCCCACACCCCAACCGAACACCCGAACCACAGACCATTAAGCACTCTTCAACACCATTCGGCCACCCCCTACATTAAAAAAACACGCCCACAACAGAACAAGTCTCCACTGAGACAAAAAAACAAAAACAACAACAGTTCTCATTAAGGAACCTCAAAAGTGAAGCACAAAACACAAAAAGAAACTACCATAATGAAATTATTCAAAAGGCCAAAAAAATTAAAGAGAGAAGAAACAAGAAAAAGGAGCTGTTTGCGGCGCATGGTTTATGGCAGCACAGTGAATAGCTGTAAAAGGTGTGGCAAGGTGGTAAATGGCAGCAAGAACTGCGATGACGCAAGGAGGTCAGTGAGGACGGCTATATTTTGGGCGATCCAAAATGGTAGCAAGGTAGAGGAGAACAAGGGGAACAACATAGTAAAAGCCTAGCCAAATAGGATAGTAAGATACGGTGAAAAAGGGTTTAGATGCCGCGAACTTTGGTTTCAAGTCTAGGAGAACCCATTTAGATTTACGCAAAACGGAGCCGGAATTCGTGAAGAGGAAATTGAGGAGAAGCTTGGGTGAAATTTTGGTGTTGAAAAGGGGCTTGCCGCCGATGACGAAGCTGCAATGATGGGGCTTCATCGAAAATTAGGTTTGAAGGGGGGCTGGCTTTGTTTTTGAAAGAGTTAGAAAGTTTTTCTTTTTTTTTTTGTTTTGTATAAAATAAAAGGGAAAATGAATTCAGAAAATTTTTTTTAATGTTTATAGTGTTTAAAAAAAAAAGGGGAGCATTAACCGGGTCAAACCCGACCCGATACCTGATTGACCGACCCAGTAGACCGATACCCGCTCTAAGGCCCCCACGAATCAGCCCAGATACCCCTTCCCAAGCCCAGATCTGTAACTTAGGCCTGACCTTATCCTAGTTGACCTCTACCCCGTCTTCTGGATAAAGCCCATTTCATTTTTCAACCCAACAGTTTTGTTCCTTGGGCTCAGTAAATTGTGAACTTTGGGCTCCAGTGTTTAAGCTGTAGTTGAGTGTATTTCTTTTAGCTTTTGGCTATTTATTTTATTATTCCTTAATGTTTTTTAAGTTTGTTAATGTTACTTCCGTAAAAGATAATAATTGCAATAATAAAGAAAAATATGCGTAATCTATTTGTGAAAGTTAATTTAGTTGTGGATGATTAATAAAATAAAAATATAATTTGAAAAAAGTAAAAAATAATACTTTTATGATTTAAAAAATGATTTTCTTTAAATAAGATATTTTTAAAAATTAAAAAATTAAAATGATATCTTTAAGCGAAAAATAATTTTGGAAACACTGCCTAGATCTTAGAAGCAATTCAAATTATGTTTTGAAAATTTTAATTCCTCTTAAATGTTAGAGAATTAAAAATTAAGAAAAAATAATTTGAAAAAATTAAAATTAAAAAAAAATATTTCCTTTACAAACAAAAAAATAATAATAAACAAAATTCCTTCCCTTTGTTTTGACTTTATTTTGGAAAAGAATCAAAAGAAAATAGTATATGATTAAATATACATGGCATAGTTTAAATTGACTCTTACAATTTTTAGTTTGCATCTGCATAGTTCATTTTGTCTCATGTTGCATTGAAAGTAAAACTTTTAACAGTAAAAGGGTAATATAAATACCGAACTTGTTTTAAAAGTCTACCTAGATGCTAGAGATAATTGAAAAAGTTTGAGTTTTCAATCATTTTCATTTTTTTCATAAGCAAAATTTCAAAACCCTAAAATAAAAAACTTAAAACTCTCTAAACCCTAAAACTTCAAAATCCCAAAACCAAAACCCTAAAACGAGAACCTAAATCTTAAAAATTCACTAAGATCTTAAATTTAACCCAAACCTTAAATTTGATTCGTAACCTCATATCATCACTCGAAAGTCATTCAAACCTTAAAACATTGACCTAAACCCGTACCCAAAATCATCCAAAAATTCTAAAGTTATATATGAAAATTTCACATAAAATAATTTTTTCTTAAATGCCATTTAAAATATGGGATATTTAAAAAATTTTATTTCATCAAGTTTTTTCATACGAGTCATTAATTTGTAATAATAATGAGATTAAATAAAAAAATAATTAAAAAATTAAGATTTTAAATACAAATAGTCGCATCTAAATTTTGCTTAGAGATTGAGGAGTATGAATAGTCTCATTATATTTAAAAACTTGATATCAAAATTGTATTTTATTATCATGCATAACATTCATTAACATACATGCATCTGTTCATTATTGTTTGTACTCGTTTAGCATGTCTATACATTTAAGTATCGTTTGCTAGCTAATCATGCCATCATTGGCTTTTTGCATAAAATGTTTTTAAAAAATGTGTAATTTTAAAATATGAAATTAGAAAATAAAAAAATATATTGAGAAAAATAATTTTTAGTACTTTACTTATATGTTAGAGAGTTATTAACAATTATTTTTTATTGTGGTTAATTTTAGACAAATAGAATTATCTTTAAAGTTCTACCTAAATATTAAAGAATTTTAAAGTAATTATTTAATTTAAAGATTTTTACAATATTCTTAGACAAAAACTTTTAATAAATTTGATTTTCTTCTTTAAAAATCGAAGAAAATTATTATTAAATTTTAAATCAAAACTAGTTTATTTAACATAAAAAATAATATATGATTAATATATACTAATTTTCATAGGTATTACGAGGTATTAATCTTTTCTTACACGTAATTAATTTTTGAACCTAATTTTATTTTCGTAGATTAAAAATTATCTTTTAGATAAATTTTAAACTCGTTTTATCATTTTATTAAAAAAAATAAATTTTTTGATAATTAATCACACTCTAAAAAATATTGATAATGACTATTCTTTTTTTTTTATTTTTTAAAATTTTACATCCAACAATCCTAAGCAAATTGTTGTGACAAATATTTTTTTTTTAAGGATTAAAATTAGTAAACTAACACCTCATTTTTAAAAGAACTTAAAACTCTTGACTTATTAGGTGGGCTTTTAAAAGAATACAATTTTTGTGCCAATTGATAATTGTTTAATATTATAGTAAAAAATAAACACAAAAAAGGCAAAGATCATATAATTATTTCCTTAAATATATAAATAAAAAGGTAAATAAAAAAGTTAAATGTAAATAAAAAAGAAAACAAACAAAGAAAATCTATGGTCCCTTTTACTTTCCCTTTCTTTCTCTTCTTAATATAATAACGAGCTCCCTAGTGGAAAAGGAAAAACGCAAACAAAAGCCACCCTTCCGCCCCACCACCACCACCACCACCACTCTCACCACCCCACACTCCACTTTCAGAAAAAAAAAAAATTTCTGGCAATTTTTTTTTTCAAAACTAATTACTACTCATTTTTATCCTTAAAAAAATTTATTTTATATAATTTTTCTCCTTATAAATATATAAATAAACACTTTCCGTTTCACTTGCTCTGTAAAACCCTAATCATCATTCGATCTCTTTTTTCCCCTTTCTTTCTCTCTTTATCTCTATCTAAAAAATCCAACTTTTTTCCTCCAATCATTTCTTTTTCAAAACCCTAAAATTTGTGGTAAGATCTGTTGCTAGCTTTACATTTTTGTTTGAGATTAAATTGAGAGGTTTCCGAGAGATTGTTTAATTGGAAAAGAGGGGGTTATTTCGGGTAAGGCTGGCGGATTTTGGGGTCAAGTAAATGGCGGATCCGCCTGGACTCCGCCCCGATAGGATTATTCATTGTTTCGAGGACTTTTCTTGTTCTGCTGCTGTTGCTATTCTTAGTGTGGGATTGGATTTGATAGGCTTACAAAGCGGTGACTGTTGCGAACTGTGACAGACAAAGGAAGCCGGAGAAGTTAAAGCATGCTGAGCGTGCTACGGGTGCACCTCCCTTCTGATATACCAATTGTTGGCTGCGAGCTCACTCCTTACGTGCTCTTACGCCGACCCGACGAGACCGGTACCACCGATGATGTGCCCGAGTCCGCCCCTCTTGATGGTCACTTCTTGAGGTACAAGTGGTAAGTGTTTTTGAATCCGTCCAAAGTGTTTTTTGTTTTATCTATTTTATTGATTTTGAGGGGTTTGGTCGTTTGGATAGTTCTCATTTTAGCCAATTGGGTTTTTTAGCTAAGCTTATTTGATTTATTCTTTTAGTAAATATGTGAACTTTGTTTATGGCTAGTAAGTGTTTGAATCAAAGATTAAAGTTTTTTTTTTTTATTATTATTGATTTTTGGGGTTTTTTGTGCTTTCGTTAGTTGTCATGTCGGCCAATTGGATTTTGGGCGACTTTCTGGGTGTGTTATTACTTGATTGCTTTTTAGTAAATATGTGATGTGAACTTGTTTTTGTGAGTGGTAAGTTTTGCGCTAAGAAAAGTTCTCAGTTTTTTTATGTTCTATTATTTTTTTGCTGTTTTGGTCTTTTGGTTAGTTCTCATTTTGGCCAATTGGGGTTTCAACTAGCTTTTTGGGTGTGATATTATTTTATTGTTTTTATTAAATACAGTATATGTGAACTTCTTTATTGGGTGGTTATAAATAATCCCCAAGTGGATGTGTGGAACTGAAGTTTATGAGTTTAGCCTTTCCGTCTGTGCATTTGGAGGTAGTGTAATTGCTTTTGACTGCAATCTGCTTTGTGTTACTTTATGTGCTGGATTTATCTTGTACGTTTAGTGATGTGGTTTTATAATTTTTGAAGCCCTAAGAAGTAGTTTCTTGATTCTGGTTATTGCATTGAGTTTCACACCATTTTGTTTGCTTTTTCTTGGATTTACTTTTTGCTGATTTTTTAACACCAAGAATTGAAGTCATTGCAATTGAACTATTTGTTGATATCTGCTATCTTTGCTTAAATTAAGGACACGTCATTGATTCAACATGTCATGATGACTAGGCTCTATGAGCTAGAATGTTCTCTCACTTATAATAATTGTTAGGGGCGTTTTCCTTATTGTGGCTGCTCTGGCACCACTATGTCTGTGAAGCTTGTAAGAACATTTCAACTTAGATTGAGAAGTACCACACTTAAAATCTTGGTCATAGAAAGAAAGAAACATTCAGCTTAAAGGGTGGATGCGTAATAATCACCCACTCTTAACTTTTTAAAAGGTAGTGGTGAGGCATTTAATGTGCTACTGACTATGTCAAGCTTTTTCTATTTGAAGTAAAAACGGATGGACCAATTCTAGTTGCATTTTGAAAATTATTAGAGACTCCTTAAAGGTGATAGAAAGTTATATTAATTGCCATATGTTTCATCACAAAAGATCCTAGAACTTTATCCTTGGGTTTTGATATCATTTACATGTAGCAATATAATAAAGATGATTGGTAAATATAAAGTTGAATATATTGATTATTCAGTCCTTGGATGGTATTTAGATCTTTTCATGGTAAGACAAAATCTTTAACCACTATGGGATACTATCTCTGTTAATATTTGTCACATGGTTTGTTGTCTTGTAGTTTCAATAAACTTTGAGACAAGGATACTACGCCTTGTTGTAATTGCTGGATTGTTATATTGGAATAGAGATTATTTTGACTGTATCTTCTGCAATTATTTTTGTCTTTTAAAATATTTTCAATAGATTGTGTTGTCTGCTTGTGGGATTAGTTGGCTTTTATATAATAAGTTGATTGCTTTAAATTTTCCGTTTGTACTACTTGTCTAATACATGTTGCTCTTTTCTTGGGTCTGTTTTGCAGGTATCGCATACAAAGTGATAGAAAAGTTGCTGTCTGTAGTGTACATCCCTCTGAGCAAGCGACGTTGCAGTGCCTAGGTTGTGTTAAGGCTAAAATACCCGTTGCTAAAAGTTACCATTGCTCTCCAAAGTGCTTCTCAGATGCGTGGCAGCATCACCGTGTTCTGCATGACCGTGCTGCAAGTGCTGTAAATGAAAATGGAAATGAGGAGGAAGAGATATTTGGCCGTTTCAATAGCTCAGGGTCTGGAGTTATTAATGCTAGTTTAACTGGTTCAGCATCTAGCACTAGCTTGACCAATGGTTCAACACCTCTGTATCCTGCTGCAGTTGCACAAAGGAGTGGTGGTGAAACCTGGTTTGAAGTTGGACACTCTAAAACATATACACCAACAGCAGATGATATTGGCCATGTTCTCAAGTTTGAGTGTGTTGTTGTAGATGCAGAAACAAAACTACCTGTGGGACATCCTAATACTATTTTGACATCTCGTGTTATTCCTGCACCTTCCCCTAGTCCTCGGCGCTTAATCCCAGTAAGCGGAGCTGATATGATGGGGCATCTAGATTTAGATGGCCGTGTTTCATCCTCTGGAACTTTTACTGTTCTCTCGTACAACATTTTGTCTGACACGTATGCCAGCAGTGAGTTATACAGTTATTGCCCTTCATGGGCTCTTTCTTGGCCATACCGCAGACAGAATTTGTTGCGGGAAATTGTTGGTTATCGTGCAGACATTGTTTGTCTTCAAGAGGTAATACTTTCTGTTATTGGTTGATTATCGCTATTACAATGCTTGATTTTTCTTTTTCGGAGCTTCAGTTCTGAAAATTCTTTTAGAACTTTCATTTTGAACTGAGACACAGCTTTGAAGTTTAGTGCATGACCAAAAATCGCTTCTATATTTAAAATTTACTATTAGACTTTGGGTGGAGATATCTGACCATGTGCAGTTTCATCGGTCTTAGTTTATACATGGGTCTATGCTCATTTGTATCCTTTTTTTCCTTTTAGATTCAAAGTGCCTTTATATATATATTTATATAAATGCCTTAAAGAGTTTATTTGCTAGCGTAATTTGTTGATCTAAGAGTGAAGATACCCTTCCTAATTGTTCTTATAAAGAATGGAGTTTTTGGAAAACACCATCGGGACCATAATTAAAGGAGAAGCTATGATTTTGGATACCATAATTTCTTTATCTGTAGATTAACGTCATTATTAGCAAGAAACCATCATCAGTCTTTTGGGTATCTATAAACATTGTGCCTCATTACCAACTGTTTTCATCTTTTCAGGTGCAAAGTGACCATTTTGAGGAATTTTTTTTTCCTGAGCTGGACAAACATGGGTACCAAGCTTTGTACAAGAGGAAGACAAACGAGGTTGCTTAAGAACTTCATGATTCTCATCTCACTGGTTTAGTAATATTACTCTTTTATGTATAATTTATGTTGGTTATAATGCAGGTTTACAGTGGCAATACCCATACAATTGATGGCTGTGCAACTTTTTTCCGCAGAGATAGATTTTCCCATGTCAAAAAATACGAGGTTTGGAAGTATATCTAGCATGGTGTATGGATTTGTACTTTTTTTTGTCATGCTAAACTAAATCTTGTATTTTGCAGGTTGAATTTAATAAGGCTGCTCAATCCTTGACCGAGGTTGCTGTTCAAACTACTCAGAAGAAAGCTGCTTTAAATCGATTGGTTAAGGTAATATATATAGCTAATTGATATCTCTATCCATTCTTTTATGGTATGTATTTGTGTAATAATATCATGTAAATTCTTTTTTGTCTGCAGGATAATGTTGCACTAATAGTTGTTTTGGAAGCAAAGTTTAGTAATCAGGGAGCTGACAATCCTGGGAAGCGGCAGCTTCTATGTGTGGTAAGGATTGTTAATGTTATTCTTCTATCCCGTATCACTATGGCTTTCTCTAATTTGCGTGATTTTGCTTTCATGACTTATTTATGATCAAAACATTACGTCATATTGCTAGTGAATGATACTAATGTACCAGTGTTGATTGTTATTCTATGATTGGCTGTTTTGATCAGGGGTTTGTTATGGGCCTTTGGCAAGTTGAACTTTGATTTATTTATGCTGCACCTCTTCTGCCTTGAAATAAAAAAGGATGTTTGGACAGTCTTTTGCTTTATAATCTTGAATTCAACTAATGGACTAAGTTACCTGGGTTTTGTCCTATATAATTTGAAAAGAATTACAAAATGGCAAGTTTAGCACAATTTGTTGCACATGTTGTGGGAGGAGTAATTTTTCTGGGTCTGCCTTGGTTTGAATAAGGTAGCCTATGGCCGGTTTCATAAAACTGAAAGTGCCTAATTTGTTGGTATTAAGTGCCAGGCTACTTGTGATGAAGGTAACTGGTGTAATGTGCTAAAAATGGTTAACTGAGTGTACGTATGTTTGAATAATAGGACTTTGATCTTTTACTGATCTGATATAATTTGATCACTGGGAAACTTTGATTGTCAATAATTATCACATTCTAGCAATGAAAAGTATCAAATTCCTTGGTACTTCCCCATATTTCTTTATGACCAACTAAGTCTCAAATTGGATTTGTGGTTTGATTATTATATGCTCTCTCTCATATGTGTTTTGCATTTTGGTTCTTTTAACCTTTCTTTTTTTTTTTTTATCAAACATGCATTGAAATGTTGAACCTATGACCCTTGTGGAAGTTGGGCTATTCTTACATTCATGAAAGTAGACTCATCTAAGTGATGATATTTACTTGTTTGTTTATATTCTTTGCATCATCTAAGTGTTTTCTACTATTCATGGTTTTGAAATACAGGCAAACACGCATGTAAATGTTCAACAGGAGCTAAAGGATGTCAAAATCTGGCAGGTTCTAATTTCACTTTAATCTGCATAATTATTTGTACATACTTATTTCTACGATTCAAAATAATAACTCATTTTATGTTTTTTAAAATTTAATTTAGGTGCATACTCTCTTAAAGGGATTGGAGAAAATAGCTGCTAGTGCTGACATTCCAATGTTGGTGTGTGGGGATTTTAATTCGGTTCCTGGAAGGTGAGTCAGTTATCCTATACATAATGTTAGATTATTTAGGGCTTCAGATCCATTTTGCATTAGGCTTTTGCTTAATTAAATGCACTGTTGAATTCTGTGCAGTGCTTCCCATTGTCTTCTTGCTATGGGAAAGGTAGATCCACTGCATCCGGATTTATTGGTAGATCCTCTTGCAATTTTGCGTCCTCATAGCAAGTTGACACATCAGTTGCCATTGGTAAACTTTCTTCCAGTAATGAACTGTTTCAAGAGGTTGCTTACGTTTTTTTATCTTACCATCATAATTAATGATGTTTTTTTGATAGGGTTTTAAAAGAACAAAGGGAACAGCCATTAGTGGAAAAAGGGGCAGGGCGTTAAACATTTTTCAGGGGTTATGTTTGACAAAATAAGTTTTTTTGAACAGGTAAGTGCTTACTCATCCTTTGCAAGAGGTGTCAGTCTCGGTTTGGAACAACAGAGAAGAAGAATGGACCCCACAACTAATGAACCTTTATTCACGAATTGCACAAGAGATTTTATCGGCACGCTAGATTACATATTTTACACAGGTGGGTCTTTTTTTTTTTGGTTTTTTGGTTGTGTAACGATTGGCTGATTGAATACTGCATATAAAATTTTTTATTTTTCTCGGATGCCTTTTTCTCTGGACGTTTGTGTAATTAGATGTTTGATGTGAATTTTAGTTATTGCAGTTGCTTATGGCTAGTTGGTTTGTGCTTTCAGCGGACTCTTTAACAGTGGAGTCCTTATTGGAACTCTTGGATGAGGATAGCTTGAGAAAAGACACAGCCCTTCCTTCTCCAGAGTGGTCCTCTGATCATATAGCTCTGTTAGCTGAATTTCGCTGCATGCCTAGGCCTAGACGTTGACAATTTAAGGTATGACGTTACTACCCTTGATTTTAAATGACACAACATATGCATTTTCTTTTTCTTTGATACAACATTTACAACTGAGCCGGTTATGCTTCAGTGAAAAGAGAAACGCAGTGTCACTCTATGTGCCATTCAAGTGTTCTCCTGAAAGATTGTTTACTTAATAACAAGCTGTTAAATGTTGTTTAGGTCTTGGAGATGCCCCGAGAAAATGGCCCAGAGAAGCTGATGGATACAGTTAAGTTATTGTAAGAATGGTAGATCATGCTCCCTGTGTTTTTAAGGTATCACTTTGAGGGATGGATCTTTGCTGTGATCTGCTTTGTAATATGTCACACCTTTTGTTTCATAGAAAAATCATTATGCCTTTTTTCAATTTCTCTTCTTTTTTCTAATAGAAATTAGTCAGTATAATTAGTCAGTTGTCCTTGTACTCTAAATTCTCTGCAATGCAAGTGGTTAGTGGCATTCGATTCCCTGCCCTCCTTCCATTTTAAATTCCATGTTGCATTTTGGTCTCCAAGGAATAATATTCAATTTTTCTTTTTGTTCTCTCTTGCAACCAAAATTCAATTGCTGATATCTCTTCTTCCTTTTCCGTGGAAGATGATTAAGAATTGACTACATTGTGGCATCAAACTGTAACACAAATACCAGCTAGAGGTGAAGAAAATAGGAATAAGAATAAAATGACGTGATCTGTTGTACCCAAACAAAAGAATTAAAAATAATAATTAAAAAAAAAAAAAACCAACAACAGCAGCAGCAGCAACAACAATTATTAATATTAGGCTAGACATAGATGGGCTTAAATCCAAAATTCCAGGATGAATCTGAACTCTGAAATCTTAAGCCTTCCCTTAAAGCTTAAAGTGTGGTCAGTGTGTTGAATTTGCTTGTTCAGACTCCATCTAAACGTGGGCGCTCTCACGAAAGAGATTTCTTTATTCAATCTCCTTATCTCGTAAGAATGATTAAACATGTAATGGTTGCTGCGATTCGGTTGCCAATGACAATCAATGCCTACCATTTTCAGTTTTGGAACCAACATTTGTCCAATCATACTCCATTTAGCAGCCAAAAGTCTAAACCACTTCATAATCACTTTCACAGTTCAAATTTTGTTTGGTGGCATTGGAACTTGCTATTTTAAGACATATCAATTCTTTCAATATTCCAATCTACTAAAGCTTGTGTTCTTGCCATGTGTAAAGTCTTTGGAACTTGAAGCCTAGTTCACTTCCTCTTTTTCTCTCCATAAAATTGGAGGGTGGCGGGGGGGGTGTTAAGCGGTTTTAGTGCAACCCTATTTTGCTTCCTATTCCTGATACTGATAGAAACGACATATCAATAAACCAGGGCAACAAGTGCTTGTGCCGCCTGGTTGCTGATAGAAACGACCCTGAACTTGGTTTCACTGTCAATGCCACCCTAGCTTTGACCCTTCATTGCCACGCCCATCTAATGCTTCTGAGTGCCCAGGTACTCTTCCACTATATATATATATATAGTTGAAGCAGCAGCCTTAAGGAAGAAGGATGGGTTGGAGAGATTTAACCCGGACACTCGTATCAATCTATATTTTGTTAATCTTTTTCGGATGCTCTGCACCTGTTAACCAAATGACAAAATATCCTGATGTAATCCAAGAGTTTTCATATGCCCTTGAAAATCTATACAAGCAATAAGCATCTACTTGCTTCGACCACCAAAACGAATAGCATCACAGTATAATTGGCAGTCCAAAACTAGCCAAAAAAAAAAAGCAATCCACTATTGGATTCTGATAATTGAGTGGATTCAAAAGTTCTTTTTTTTTCAGGACATGTTTGGAGGAATAAGTTGGTTGCCCGGAACCACTCCCTCTTAACTGAGACGTTGGAAAACCACCTTCGGTTCATACATCATCAATTCCATGTGACACTCATATGCAGAGAATAAGATAAGATCTTGTCATAAGATAGGAAAATCTGACTCTGAAGTCTGAAGTACCAAAATGCTTTTCTTTTTCCTTCTTATATCTAAACTCAATTGAGGCTTCACTTTAAAGAAAAGTAATTCAATTGTAATCATTATAATTTTCAAGTCTACAACAGGGCCATCAATTCTCTCTTTAAAATGATAGGTCTATGATCATTTAACATAACAAACACAACAGCTTTGAAGGAGGCATCCTAACTTTGATGTGTGTGTAAACGTTTCAAACTCAATATGCCACCAGATCAGCTATGTACTTTGAAGCATCTCAGATGTGGGAACAACTTGAGTAAATCATCACGGCTTCGTCTCTGCAACAGGCATCAATATGGGTTTACCAAAAGAATTTTAAATAATTTATTTGCAAAGCACAGTGCATGCCTTGTATTAACTATCAATAATACTTAAAAGGAAAATAAGGTTGATTTTTGAGATGTGGAACTTCTCAAGGGTGCCATGATGTGCAAATAGATGCCCACTGTCAGCTTTGAGCATGCTCACAAATGGATAGACTTCACACATGGACGTGTTCTTGAGCACTTCCTAGTAAAGTTTCCAGCAGTGCATATTACGGGATGCCTATTCATTTTCACCAAGTCCTCCCAAACATTATTTTCACATTTGAGCACTCCCATTTCCATACATTTGCTTTCCTGTCCTTCATACAGTGGTATGTTCATCCACCTAAGAATCGAATGATATCTAAAAGCAAGGGTGTTTTTATTCGATATTATTACAACAATAAAGATTTTTGACAAGAAAATATCTGCCATAACTTTCATATAAATAAGCAGAGGACAAGCAGAATCCCTCATAGAGAGAAGAAACAGTTGTTTACCTTAATGCCAATACATCCATTGACATCAAGAGTTGTGATTGTATTTGAGCAAAACTTGGAAAGGGCCTCAAGGCATTTGTCAGTTACCCCAACTATCCCAAACAAACTGCAAGGCATCAGTAAGAAAAACTTTTACGTGAGAAGAATTTATAGGCTAGATAATCATGTGCTGATAAATCTAACCATTCTCACATCTGCACATTTTCCTATAATTTCTTCAGCTAAATGACAAAAAAAAAATACGGAGAAATAACTTTTTTTAATCATCAACTTATTATGAGATATGACTAATTGCTTCATGCTTTTATTTGAAGGACTTTGAAATTATTTGTCACCCATGAATTTTGATGCATATAGCCATGTTACTGAAATATCTATTAATGTTATGAAAAGCACAAATAATTAATGAATTCCTTTCAGCATGTCCAACTCTAGATTGACAACAGAATGACAAGATATTCTCACTTTCATTGTTTTAAATATGCCTTGCAATTTTTTGGTGTTACTTCAGTTTGGCTGCAACTGAGTCATGAAGCTCAGTTTGATAAGAATCACCAGGGGGGTTTGGAGGGCACTTAGGCAACCATTCTTGAACTCTTCGAAGGGAGCACTACATCAATATGCCTGATAGATCTAGCTTAGCTCAATGATGACACTTTTGTTATAACATAGAGATCCGTATAACTATGGCTAGACTTGACTTTAAGGAGTCGCCACCGATTTTTTTTTTTTTGGTATAGGTGTGATTGGTCACCTAATTGAAATTGTCTCATTTTAAAGAAATGTACCAAGCTTGATTTAGATATCTTTAAAAGGTAGATTCATGTCTACGAAATCATAACTAGCTCCTGGAGTACGGTTACGTGTAAGGAAGGTTATAGTACCTTCATATTACCCACCCAAAAGATGGTATCGAAAATTATTCCTAAATTACTCCAATTCAGGAGTACGATTACGTGTAAAGAAGGTTATAGCACCTTCACATTGCCCACCCAAAAGATGGTATCGAAAATTATCCCTAAATTACTCCAATATGTTTGTAATAATTCAAGAACATCCCCTAGTATTTAAAAAGACTATTTGTCACACTTTGAAGAGACTCCGTTGTCAGATTCATTCAATTTTTGTAAAAAAAATTTTATTTGTGAGAATTGACATTTTTGTGATAATCTTAACATTGAAAATCTTTTCTACATTCTTCAATATATTGGTAAAATTTAAAAAGAAATTTTCACTTAAAAATTTACATACAGATTGCTATTTACAACGCTTTTAGTGATTTCATCATTGGAGATTCAAAATCTAATTTTGTAAAAAAAACTCTTTATTTTCAGAAATATCCTCCAATATGTTAGTAAAATTTTTTGTTAGAAATTATCCTCAAATATATTGGTAAGATTTTATGAAAATTATTTTTTAAAAAAATTAATTTTTATTTAAAAATTATAAGGTTTTCCAATATATTGGTCAAATCTTATCTTAAAAATCAAATTTCCTTCTAATATGTTAGTAAGGCTTTATTGAAAATTGTTTTTTATGTTGAAATTTATTTTTTATAAAAAATTAATAAAATTCTCTAATATATTGATAAAATTTTATTTTAAAAATCAAATTGTCTTCTAATATATTGGTAAGGTTTTTTGTTTTATTAAAACAATTTATTAAAAATTTGAATCTTATAGAATGTTGATAAGATTCTTTTTATTTATATATTAATTTTAAGAAAATATGAAACATCCAATATGTTGGTAAGGTTCTTTTTATTTTATTTAAAAAAATATTTTTTTCCTTTTTTTTAAAAAAATTACAAATAAATAAATATATAAATAATCAAATAAACAAACAAACAAATAAATAAATAAATAGACAATTGTGATAAAATACAAAGATAACTAAAACTTAAGAAAAATAAAAATAAAAAGTAGATACCAAAGATTGGGTCATAATTGATTCCAAAACATGTGTGCTTTTGTAATTGTGTTTTTTCTGAACTTCTTTCCTCAACAAAGAACTCCCAAAATTATCTAAATCCACATCTCAAGCCAATTCTCTTTTACAGTACCTTTTCAATTAGAACACTTTCAATTCAACAACCTAATTGGAATTAAACTCTCTTCAAGTTTTAGCAAAACAATTCTTTCTCTTTTTTTTTTAAATAATATAACTCCAAACTAAATACAGTACCAAAAATAAATTAAAAAAATTCAAAGCTTAATTTTAAAATATAAATTGAACTAGGACTAAATGGAATGTCTATAAGTTTAATTCAACTATTTTAGTCAGTGTCAAAAACAAGAGTGTCTAGTGCCTTATGTTGTTAATTATCACTATCAATCACATTAAAAATCAAAGTCTACTAGGAAAGAGAAATATTGCTATGCAGAATTTAAAATAAGCACAATTATGAGACTCAAGAGACAGCATTTGAAAGTTCAAAATACCTATTATGGTTTTTCCAAATTAACTAATATTTCACTCAGGATTTACCTGAGAAATTCAAGACAGGTGCAACCTTCAGCAATAGCTACGACCCCCACATCAGTAACGCGTACACACCTGTTAAAAATAAAAATAAATACTAGCTTTTACATTTTATCAAATTACCTTCTTGCTACACAGATTTTGTATAGGAGAAAATTCACTAACCATGTTAAATTGAGAGATACAAGTTTCTTGCATTTAGCTAGACAGGAAAGTCCTTCATCTGAGAGATTCTGTCAATCAATTGTTTCATTAGCAGTATCAATTTCACAAACTGCATCCTATAAAAACTTATTCAGAAATCTTAGTTTTTACCTGGGCGCCACACAAATCTAGGAATCTTAGATGAGTTAGAACAGATATCTTCTTGTAAGCTTCGTCTGTGAAGCTGCACAAGCAAGGAATTACAGTTACACAATTTAGGAACCATAAGTCCATAACAAAAACGTACCAAAGATTAGCAGGTGAGGATATTACAACATACCTGGAAAGTGCATAAAGATTTAAACTTCGGAGAAAGGAGCACTTTACCAATACTTGTTGCAAGCCACTATCTGTCATCTTGACACACCTGGAACCAGATCATCACAGGACACAAGCATCATCAGAACATATCCAAACCAGAAGTATTCAATGAAAATCTTCAAAAAAATTAATTAAAAACAACATTAACTAAGCAAAGTATCATTTCTTTGTGTGATAGACAATCTTTCACGCCAACTAACGACATTTATCACCTAGTCACCACCTTTTTAAACAAAAGAATGCCTACAAGATAACCGAAAAAGTAGCGGCAGAGAATATATGATATGTAGAAGCAGATATCAAGCAGACATTATTAAATTGTAGTGAACAACACCCAGTAAAACCTAAGCAAAGCAGATTAACATACCTAGTCAAATTCAACGACTCTAACTCTTGGTAATTGTCAGCTACTAATTGCAAACTTTTGTCTGATAAATTCTGCAATTGTCACATCAAAGTACTCCATTCAAAGAAAATCAAACAGAATACCATATATTGACTTGCACGACCAAATAGAGACTACAATATACAATCACAAACTATTTAAAAGTAGGAAAACAAATTTATAAAAGTTTCACAGTGATGTTCTGAGCCAAACCCCCAGCACAACAAACAAGGTAATGGTGCAAACATCAGACCTTTATCATGTACAAAGAAAAACGAGTTTCAATTTTGCAATTGAGCATGCTTGCATGTTCAAATCAACTAACTAGAAAAGCACAATATGCTACAGGAAAATCTAACAAAAAAGGTATTATTAGGCATCAACAATTCAAATGGATGTATGCAATCTCTTTTCATCATCCACTCTAATGTGATCCATAAAATCATATACCGTTTTATCTTTTTTGCAGCCTCCAGCTGAGTATCCGTTTTATTCCCATTCTCTTGTTATCCAGAACACCTAAACTCATTGAGAAATAATGCAATTTTTTGTTGTTTTTGTAAAAAAATCATCTCATCCCTCTTTCAATTATAATTGGCACCATCCTCAACTTCCCACAAGTGCATTGTTTTCCCTTACATTATCCTGATTGCTACTCTGCATTCATCCCAAAATCCTTACCTCAGGAAAAAAATAGCTTCACAAACTTTATCCCTTGGAATTACTGAGGTTCCTTCATTCAATATAATCACCCTTAATTAAATTCATTCTTAAGAAACAGTATTGCTGCCCTCAGGCAATAGGCCTTGGAGGACATACAAAACCCAAATGTAGCATAAGTTAAGCAAAATTTTAAGCACCCTCATCAATTGATTTTTATAATGTAGTACAATTAAAGGTAGAAACTGCCAGTTAGTCATCAAATACCTTACAGCCACTTAAGTTCAAATCAACTATATATTTGCAGTTCTTCACAAGATGCTTCACACCTATATCAGTTGCCCTGAAGCTCAGTCCATATCAAAAGATGCATTAGAATTATAAATTAATGAAAGATTGCTTATAAAAACATGTCAGAAAATATCTGAACTACATAAGGGAAATGTGAAATACCTTACATTCCAATAAATAGAGAAAACCTTCAATTTAGGACAACAACTGGTTATCGCTTCAATTCCTTTATCAGATATCTTTTGGCAGCCATTCAGATTTAAAGACTCGAGGCCTTGAAGTGAATCCAAACACTGAAATGCTTAAAATATTATAAAGAAAAACTCAGGAGATAATAAATATATAACAATTAACCACACTTTATAAGCAAGATAGCTATTAATGAAGTAAACTAATAGGACTTAGATTCCACAACATAGCCAGAAATGTCACAGACTTTTACATCCATGAATCTATTCAGAGCATTAAATTATATTTTGAAATCAGGTTCAATTCTAAGGTCCCAATGGCATAAATTCCATCCAACTGAATCCTAAAACATTCAGCCTATTTCTTTCTAAATTCTTCAATAAAACAAACATATACAAACTCCAAATCAGAACAGCACAATACTATACCTTGTTCTTAAGGACTTGGAGATGACTGTCGTCTATATCCCGTGCAAATTCAAGGATTATTTGCTTCACATGGTGATATCTTGGCTACAAAGAAAATGCAAAAATTTACTTACTTTAACACTAAATACGGCTACCCTTTTATCTATTAGCTAACAAAAACCCAATGGACCATCATTCAAAAGATTAAAAAAAAAAAACAGAAAAAATTAACAATTTAGAAATTAAAAAGGAAAAAAGAAAAATTGACAAACCAGTGAAAGAGCAGCTATGAGTCGATCTCCAACATTATTCATCTCACGTAAATCAATAGTCTGGACAAAAAGAAAAAAAAAACCCAGATCATAAAAAGCAATGAAAAGATGACATAAAATTAAAAAAAAAAAAAAAGATAGAAGAAAAGAAAACGGGAAAGTTGTAGAGAAGAGAAAAGTACAAGCCAAAGAGAAGGGTAGGAAATAAGAGTACGGTGAAGCCAAGGGTTGAGAAGAAGAAGAGAGATGAGATCTCTTTGAGAAAGCCTTGTGCTCACTATTTTCATCACTTTCGGCACTGTTTCTTTGTTCCATATTGATGCCTGCTCTTCTCCTTCCATCCTCTCTGGAAATAACCAAAACTGATGTATATGTTTGGTTCCGTACTTATGCTCCTCCCGCAATCTAACTTCTACTTTCTTTTTTTTTGGTACATTATTTTTTAATGTAATTTTTAAGTTCCATAAGACTGGCAAACAAAAAAAAAGTTCCATAAGACAGTTGTGGCTTGTTTGATTAATAAATAATTAATTAATTTTTATAAATATATTTAATAAGATATTTATCTACCTCTCATTTAATTGGTGAAGTATTAAATAATTTTTTTCTGAAATAATCAAATTATAAAATAAAATTAACAAAATCATTGTGTACTTTTTTTAATAAAGATATACTTTCAAAAAATTCAAATCCAACTCTTTCAATTAAAAATAAATAAAATTATAATTCATAAACACCAATATTGCATGAAGTTTTTTGCCTAAATTATTGCTAAATAATAGAGTACATTTTTATTTTAATTTAATTAAAAATACAATAACCTTATTAAAATTACTAGTAACACATTTTGATATTTCAAGTTCATGGAAAACCTTGAATTTACTCTCCAATATTTTGACTCAAACAAAACCGATTTAAATTCCTTTAAACCCAGTCTGACTCATGAAAACATTTCTATTTTATGAATACTAGCGTGAAAGGTTAGACCAAATTTTTGTTATTTCTTTCACTCTGTCTCTTGCTACCTTCTTCGTTGACCCACGACTAACTCAAAGTTATTTGCATTAAAACAATTTTTAATATACCCCAAAAAATTAACTTTTAAGAAATTTATTTAAGTATTCAATAATTAATTTTTTTTATCATTTATACTTTTTCTTAATAAGTTATCGAAAATTTATTTTTGAAATTTTTTTTAATATATTAAAAATTCATTGCCGAGAACTTCTTCACTAAATTAAAAAATACATTTTTAAAAAGATTATAATTATTCAAAAATATATTTTTAAAAAATATTATAATTATCTAAAAATGTATTTTCAAAAAGTATTATAATTATTTAAAAATTCATTTTCAAAAATAAATTTTTACTTTAATTTTTTTGTTACAATCTCTTTATCAGTGTTCGATACGAGAATATCGAATATTTCTTGTTATAATCTTTAAACGAATCTCTAATGATTTTTTTGAAGTATGAATTGTTTAAATCTGACAGTAAAAATTTTTAATATTTTAATTGTACTTTTCATTCAATAGTATTTATAATATTTTTTAATTCTAATAAATGTGTATATGAGAGAAATTAGTAATTGTAAAAGGATGTTCAAGCAAGTAGCTTCTGCACATGTACGATGAATCAGTCACGCTCCATCTAATATGGTGCAATAGCCAACTTGCATAAACATTTTTTCACATTTAATGATTCATCTCAAATGTATATTTGTCTGAATTATAAAAATATTATAAACATTATTGAACAGATAATGTTTGATGGTCGAAGGATTAAATGCCCTTATTGTCAATTTTACTAATTGCTAATGATATTGTCAGAGTTAATATTACTTACGGTGTTAAGTTATCGTGTATTAAAAATTTATTTTTAAAATTTTTAAAAGATTTCATAAATGAATGTTTGAAAATCATTAAAATTTTTTTAAAATGTATATTTAAAAATTCTTAAAATTTTTTAAAAATTAATATTCACAAGCTTTTATGAGATTTCAAAAATAATTTTTCATAAGTTTTTGATCGATTCTGAACATTAAGGTTTGAAAATCTTCAATAATTTTAAAAAATAAAATTATGAAATGTTCAAATAGCATAAAAAACTTAAAATCTTAAATCTTTTAAAACTAAACATAAAATTAAATGAAAAAATAAAAAAATTTATTTATCTCTAATTTAAAACTATCTAAACTTAATTCTTCAAGGGTGGGCTTTTAATTAAAGAAGATGGGATGCGAAGAGGTGGGTGTATGAGTTTTTTAAAAAATCTATATTTTAAATTTAAAATATATTCAATAAAAACTTAAATATTAATAATAATAGCGTAAAGAGAAGAACTTAAAGTACAAATAACACTGCTTTATAATTTTTTATATCCTAAAATCATGATTGCTCGAACTGAAGCTTTAGTCATTAGAAAATGAATGGAAATAAAACACATGCTCCAAGGCAATTGGCAAACGAGCTACCTGGAGATTTAGCTTCCAACTCCCAATCTTGTTTACTGTTGTAGCTAAGTGGTCACGTCAACATTCACTTGAACAAATTTTATACATAGACAATCGATTAATCATTTCATTATTCATAAAGTATATAAAACAAAAGTTAAACATTTAATATTCAACTACTTTTGTTTCCTCTCTAATTATTTTCTTTGTTTTCTTTTTTTTTTTTCTCATGTATATTGTTGAAACTGTTAGAAAATCAAGATGTACATATAATATTAATACACACAAATAATAAAACAAGTTTAAAACAAAAATATAAACATATAAATATATTTAATTTAACTCAAAATGATTTACTATAAATTCAATCCATTAATAAATAATTTTTTTATAATTATGAGATTTTTAAAATAAAAAAATTCATCAAAAATTTTTTATTCAAAATTTAATTACATTTTTTTAATAACATACTCATTTAATTATTTTTTCGATGTTTAATTATTTAAAATTATCAAACCAAAACTAAAATATTTTATTTATAAAAGTGAAACTTTTTATATATTTATTAAATTCTGAATATAAAATATAAAATAAATTTAAATTCTTATAATTTTACTTAAATTTCTACGAAATTCAAGGTAAATTCAACAAAAACATCAAAACATGTTCTGAAATATTATCTTCAATGTCCCCTAACTTTTTTTATATTCGATTTCAACCTCCAAGCCTCTCAACCAAGTACTAGAAATTACATTAACACTTCTAAATGTAAAATTGCTACTAGCTAGTATATGTTTTTAATTTTAGATGCAGTAATTCAACCATCTAGATTCTAGTCGAAACATACAACTTTAATACCTTGATTGACATTTAATTTTCCTCCGATTTTCTAAAGTATAAAATTTGTACTTGAACAGTTGAACAAATTATAAAGTTAAACAAGGGAAAAGTGCTGAGCAGTCAGTCGTGGCCTCAGGAAAGTTTCCCGTGCCTTGATCCTTTGTTCTAAAAGCTTTTCAGTGTAAACACATTGTCTACTAAAATGCAGAAAAAAAAAAAAAAAACAGAATTACATCTCATGGTTCATTTATAATCCCATAAACAAAACAAAAATTAAAAAGCAAGACAAGAAGCAGGAAAAGAAAAAGAAAAAGAAAAAGCCAGTGCCTGGACTTCCCCATGTATGCCACCCTGCAGGATTCTTTTCTGCTTCTTACGAATTACACCATCTGCATGCCTTCATTTCAAGCATTCAAATTCCAAATTTAGAGAGCTGCTGGGGATCCATGTTTCAAAGAAGTCAGAACTAACTACTGTTTTAGTCAAGCTGGTGTTGTACTTGTAATTATTATAAAAGTATGAGGAGTAGTCTCATTTTCTGTCTATTTTGTACAAGCATGATATCTTCGCTATTAATATCACAGATCTGGCAATCCCTCTTTAGTATGGGGCATCCACCATAAAATCTGTTCGAATCTGTTTATCAGTAACAAAGTGTTATGAGAAGAAAGTTAAAAAGAATACTGCCAATAATAGTGTGCTTTGTTAATATAGATATTAAATTTTTAATTTTACTGATCAAAGTTTAATATTTGATAATATAAAAAAGGTTAAAAATAATCATATATTACTCCAATTTTAAGTCCGAACTTTGCAAAATTATGTGGATGGCTTATTACCCATATCATGCATTTTATTTGAGATTTTAAATTAAAAGGTAGCTCTTAGCCATTATTAATACTTTTTTTTTGAAAAGCACGAACTGTTTAAATATGATTTTTTTTTTTTTAAATTAGAAAACTTTAGGTAAAGAGATTGTGATTATCTTATTTCAAGTCGGAATATATTGATGTAAATAAAAATTTATATTAGATTTATAAATTATTTATTAAAAAAATTGTTAATAACAAAAATTAAATTTAAACTTAACAAACAAAGTATTCAATCTTTATCAATTTGATCAATCCATTGACAATATAATCTTAAATTTGAATTATGATTGTATCTTATTGATATGTTAATATCAAATAATGAGTTATATAAAAAATGAAACGTACTCTTGCCTTAACAGAGATTTATAACTAAGTTAAACGTTTAAACTAGCAAAGCCAATTAAGAATATATAGAGTGGAAAATCAGGCTATGGCCTGCAGTCAAATTATTTTCAAGATTGCAGGTCTCAACTTCAGTCTATCTAAATGAAGGTGGTCTGTGCGTGAAGTCATGTCAAATAAAGGCCACTGTTCTTCTCAATGTCAGTGCTGAAGAGGGAAAAGAAGGGGATACAACAAAAATCTGTGCATATACGGCAGAACTGAGACGATGGGATAAGCATGGTCTTTGCGCCGTGATTGCCTTGGAGAAATATTTAACACATCATTTGTTGTCTTTAGTACAAGTTTTTGCCGCCAAGGCATAATCAACAACCCAACATAGCTGTAGTTCCAGAATGGTCAAACTGTGAAGTTATTGCTCAACTTTTCGAGTCAATCATAGCTGAATTTTTGGCGAAGGGTACGTGAAATTTTTTTTTTTGGAGCTATGATATGTTAATGGGTGTTGCTTTGGGTTTTGAATTTCCTTTGCCATTTGCTGATTCCGTGGCTTAAAAATCTTGAGTTTTGTGTTTTAAGTCTGGGTAGCACTTGGTCATTGCATCATGGTTCCCAGCAAATTTATTTTTTATATATTTGAACTGATTTAAATATCGATCATTAAAATTAAAAATTAAACATTTTATCAATAAATTATGTAAAATGTAACTATTGACAGTTCTTAAAATTTCAAGTGAAATTATCTTGACGACATTATTTAATAAAAAAATATGATAAGTGAATTTAAAGGTTGATATGTATTTATCTTGATTGCTTTTTATTAACCAATCTAATACAATGATAAATTTTACCCTTTTCAAAAAAAAAAAAAAGATTAATGTTTCAAAATCATATGCAACAAAACAAAATTTATATGAAAAATTAAAACCTTTGAAATTAACAACTATTCTTATTGATTTCCTATTTGATTTGCATGAAGTTCAAGGTGAAAAACACTTCAATTATATATTTTTTACATGTAAAATTTTTTTTAAAAATCATAATAACTTGATATTTTATAAATTTATTGCCAACATTAAACATCCAAAAGAAATGGACATTTAAAAGATCATAATAACTTGATATTTTATAAATTTATTGCCAACAAATAAGAGAAAACAAGAAAAAAAAGAAAAGAAATGGACATTAAGATTTGGGCTGAGTGAACCCAACTGGTAAATAGTAAGAAAAACTATTGGATTTTTGGCCTCAAAAGCCCACTGCTTCGGGGAAATTAGAAAAAACATAGGAAAAGAAAATCGCCAAAGCCTATAACTTTTTGGATTTATTTTGATTTTTCGGACGGCAAATAATGTTCAAAGCAAAATTCCTACTTTGCTCAACCAAAAAGCAGCTACTTTCATAGCTCCAAATTGAGGATCAACAATGGAGAGGCATCGTTAAGGTGAGGCTGAAATGGGTGAAAAACCGGAGTCTTGATCATGTCAGCTACACTGAGTCCGATCGCAAAGCGGCTTGCCTCTTGAAGGATGCTACGAACGGTCGCCCACCGGTTTTTTTATTGCCAAGTCTTTTGCCGATAGGCAAAAGCTCCTTGGCCTCACTTTCCCCGCTCTTCGCTTTTTGTGCCGGTATTTTGGACCGTTTTCCTCGATTTTTCAGTACCCTTTTGTTGTTTTTTGCTCCTTTTTTTGCGACAGAAGCAAAATGAAAAAGCTCCCGTTTGGTTGTAATTTGCATTGTAAGAAGTTGTTCTGAGATAAAAGCAAATGCTAGAAAGTAAAATCATGATTGGTTAGAAATGAACATTGATTAAATGTAATATCAAAACCACGCATTTTGTATAAAATTTTTTTTGCGTTTTTAGTTTTTGATTAGTCAAAAGTTTTACCTTTTTTTTCCCCGTCTGAAGGGCGGAGAAGCAAAACGCGATATACAACTGTACCTGAGCGAATGAGAGTGACTACGCTGGATTTTGCACTATTAGTGGGTAATTCTGTACTGTTATGTGCTGCTGTTATTGGACACTAACCGGAAAGTGGTTTTGATTAACTGTATTGACTATTGAGTTGAATATCTAAGATATTAGTTATTGTTTGCTATTTTTTTACTTTGTAATAGGATCCCTACTCTTTTTGAACAATTCCCACATGCCTGATATTCTAATTTGCGGTGCTTTCAATTGACGGGCACTGGACTCTTGTTAGCTTCACAAGAGCAAAGCATACACCAGGCAAATGAGAATGACTATAGAGAGGCTTTCTAGGGTGCTTATGATGATGAAAAGTAGGACTGCACCTCTTCAGTCCCTGCATCCCGATTGAAATGGGATCTTGGTTGCCAGATAATTTTGAGAAAGTGTTGATCCCAAAATACCCCGATCGTATTAGATTTGTTGAGGAACCAACTGGTATTGCAGCTGTGCAACTTGTGCAATGGCGCAAGGAATTTGTTGTTTCAGCATTGGAAAGAAGTAATGAGGGTGGTTAGATGGGTGATGAGCACAGGCAATTTAAGAGGGGTCAAACCACGTTGGCATTCCCAATGAATTTCCAAAGGGGTTATGGAGCACAGAAGAAGGTGAGAGCTTGGATGGAGGAGTTTCAGAAACTTCCCTACATATCTCCATATGAAGATTATCGGCGTATTGATTCAAATAGTGAGCTTATGGAGAAAAGGGCCGTTGGTGTATTGCGTGAGCTTTTGGACTTGACGATTCACAAGAAGACCAAAAGGAACTACTTGAGAAGGTTGAGAGAGGAACTCAACATCCTACATAAGCTTACTTCATTATTTACTAGATATCCAGTGATTTTCTACCTGTTCTTGAAGTGCAAAACAACAACAGCGGCTCTCAAGGATACAGGCGGGAAAACTAGTAAACCTAGATCTTCTTGTTCGTCTAAGAGGGAAGTTTTATCATGTAATGAGAACAGGGCCTCTTTATCGTGGTAAAGGTGTGAATCTGATACCTCGGGAAGACATCTTACTTAATGACGTCAAAAATAGGGCGGGCGAGGAAGAAAAAGAAAAAGAGACCGATGAAGAAGAGATTGGACCAGATGATGAGTACTATGAAGAAACCTCAGATATAGAAGATGAATGCAGCAAAGAGTACTGATTACCTGACAGATAATCCATTTTGCAGCTATATTAAAAGGGAAAGACGATAAAACTTGAGGTATTTACTGTTAATAGAATGCACCAAATTTGGATTCATCTCTTACCTTGGCATGAGAGCAAATATCAAATTAGGATTATAGAAGTTTATTAGCACGTTTGAATGTCTTACTGCTTGTGTCTGAGTAAGAAGATTTTCCATATTTTTCAGCACTAACATGACCTATCTAAGTCCTTAAAAGGATAAGTGATCCATTTTCTTTGATTAATAGGGTCAATTGTTCGGTAAATGCTTGTTTCATTTTCATGTAAAAGAAGTTACAAATGAACATGTAGACCCACGTTAATGCATATGGAGGAAGGAAGATGGAATTATCAAAAGAGAAGAAAGGTTTTTAGCCGAACATATTTTATAAAAAAATGTTTGTTACAAGAGATGTATTTTTAACTACTGTAGTTGATTTTTCTTCATGATTCATTCTTGAAAAAGTAACATCTTATTTATACAAGGGTCTTGAATCATTGGGTTTAGACATTATTTCGATGATATTTAGTCATTTCAAAAATGACAACAACATGCTTCCTTCTTGATTTTTCTTTTTGAAAAAGTAACGTGTTATTTATACAGAAAAAAGTAAAAAAATAATATCCTAATAAGACAAGCTTAATAAGACAAGTTTAGGACAAGATTAGAACAAAGAATAATTACAACTTTATAAGTGACTTGATATAAAATTAAAGTAAGGTGACTCATCACTTATTTGACATAAAGTAAATGTGATTCATAAAATAAATATGATTTAATTTAGATATAAAGTTGATGAAAACTTGACATAAAATTGTCTTCTCTTTTGGTAATTTCATCTTCCCTTTTTTATAGTTAAAACTTTAGCTTCATATTTTTCTTCAAATTATTTTATAATTTACAGTGATATAAATTAAATATGCTTTGCAACTGTTAAAGCCATAAATGAGGGTTACCACTTTGGCATAACCTCGTAAATAAGAGAGAACTAAAATTTATGTTTAATTAAAATTTTAAAACAATGCTATGGACACTTTTCTGATGATAGATGAAACATGGAATCACCAGAGCATGCTTGTACTAGTTTTATTCTCAATTACTTGTTAGGCATACTTTATCAGCTCATTTATCGAATTTCTAAAAATGTGATCATTCCTGGTTAGTGATCTAATGAACCTAAAAGCAAACAGCAGCCATTTTTAATATTTTTATGTGATAAAACCCAATCGGCATTGTGCAAATCTTGTTAAAGCTCTATTGAGCCTAAAATGCGTATCGAAGTTGCCTTCAAAGAATCCAAGTTCAATTCCAGCAAGCAGCAAAATACCAATTAACTCATTGCTTGAAAAATTCTAACCGGTTTTTATCCAAGTTCTTAACAAAATAAATCAAGATATCCGAATGTGCAAAATGAAGTACTATTTTTCTTTTCAGCCAACGGCTTTACCTATAGAACATGAAGAACAGGGATGATAGAATAATATAGAAAACAAAGGCACATTTGCTTCTCTCAATGAGATAATCAATCCGCTTCACATCAATATGGACAGAATTAGGGAAGTGATGAAAATATTATAAGACATGATGATGATGTCAAGTTCATTCCCTCCCAATCTCTTTCTATAAAATGAACAAAATCATTTAATCAGCAGGATCCTGTTATCAGTAAAGGCCTGCCGGCGCCCATCTCTTCTTTCATCACCCTCCTATAATTTGGTTACAAATGTACCTATATATAGCATCCTATGCTCCTAGGTATATTTCACCAAAAGGAGTATGCGAGAAAGTGCAGATGCACCCAAGCCTAAATGGTTAGTTTCATAGATCACCCTCCCCAACCATAACTTCCTTATCAGCCACCAGCAGACTCGGTAAATGGTCAGTTTCCTATGTCACCATCCCAACCACAGCTATGCAGATGCCTCGTCAAAATTTAACCATCAATCCTACAGCCCTCTACAGAACTCATGAGAATATGTCCTATGTTAGAACCGAGAAATTGGAGACAAATTAATCCTTGAATTCTGATGGAAAATATATATACTCAAGAGAAAAGCAAAAAAAAATAATAATCCAGTATGAAGTGGTGACCTAATCCCAAGCACTTGTCACGCCTGGAGCATATTCTCCATAATTGGCAGGAACTCCATATGCACTACCACCATTCCCTCCACCGTAGTAATCCAGATTCCTACTAAATGAACCCTCCCTTCTGAAATCACGCCCACCAAAACGCCCTCCTCCAGATCGTCGATTTTTGTTACCACCACAAGGAGCCCGGGATGCATAACGGGTGAGCCATGCAGGTACCTCTTGATTTGCTTCTTGCATTAGCTCAGCTAGTGGCCTTGCCAGTGACAAATTGCTCTCATTAAAGAAAGCTGTAGCCAACCCTGTTTTACCAGCACGACCTGTCCTTCCAATCCGATGGACATAATCATCAATGTCATTGGGAAGATCAAAATTGACCACATGAGCTACATGGGGTATATCAAGACCACGAGCAGCCACATCAGTTGCTACTAAAATTGGGGTCTTTCCACTCTTGAAAGATCTCAATGCTAGTTCCCTTTCCTGCATACAAACAAGCCCACAGTATTTATGTAAAAGACATATTCCTGCCAAATTAAGGTAAATAGCATATAGCTGTAAGACTGCAATACCATGTTCCACCCAACCACAAAGACCATAGTCTTTCACTTCTCTTCAGCAAATTTATTTCTTAATAATTACCTGTTGAGTCCTATCACCATGGATGGTTGTTGCTGGGAATCCATTAATGTATAGCCAGTGTTCCAATGAGTCAGCTCCTTTTTTAGTCTCCACAAAAACTAAAGTCAAAGCTTGCTGCAAAGTCAAAGACACAACTATCAAAAGTTGTTTATTATCTCCAACCTATCAATTCAATGAGACTAGATACATGAATTAGCACCCTGAACAGTAAATATTCATCAAAACAAATATATCTAGTAATTAACTTGAATTGAAAAATATATGGATAAAGAAACTTCAATAAGCAATTCCATATATGATAGATTCATTACCTTTCCATGAACTCCATTTTCCCTCTGTGCATGCAGAAGATCCATGAGATGACTTCTCTTATCAGACTCAAGAACAATTTCAACCCTTTGAACAATCAAATCTGTACTTGAACCAACTCTCCCAACAGCCAAGAATATGTAATTTGAAAGAAAATCAGATGCAAGTCTCTGCACAGCCACCAATTTACAAAAGAATTATGTGATGTAATTCGGATAGGCTTTCTTTTTAGTATCAAAAACTCTACTATCATCTTAGTTGCATTTGAAACTTATTCTAAAGCAAAATCAAGGCAATTTAACATTTCTACTTCTTTTGGGTTTGTAAATATTAAAGTGAAATAACCAACCCCACACAAATATTTAGTGCTTGAGCTAATCCAAGGCCAAAGTCAATTTTACTCTGATTAATTAACAATTTCCGTTTTCTATAAAACACATAGAGGTAGCAAGAAGAATTCAAACCAGCACCAACATTATTATATTCCAGAAGAACATGAAACTCAATTCACAACTTAAAACATTTTACAATTATAAGTGCAAAGCATATGAACTGAGTATGTCAACAAATACAGCTTGAACACTCAAATAACAAATAAAATGGGAATCAACAGAGAAACCCTATTTAAAATTATAACCAACCTGTATCTCTCTTGGAAACGTGGCACTAAACAACATTGTCTGTCTCACACCCCGATCAGGCATGTCCATTTGTTGCACTATCTTTCTGATTTGTGGCTCAAAACCCATATCAAGCATGCGATCTGCCTCATCAAGGGCCAAGTGCCTAATCATCTGCAATGACACTCTAGCCCTCTCTAGCAAATCAACCAATCGTCCTGGAGTTGCCACAAGAATATCAACTCCTCTTTCCAACTCTCGTAACTAAGTATAGAACAAAGAATTAGTAAACAAAACAAAAAAAAAAATGAAAAATAAGGTATTGAGAGATAGGAATTTGTAAGGGGACCAATAAGCCAAAAGCCACTGGAGATATTTAGAAAAAAGATGAAAAGAAGATCCCAGAAAAACATAAAAATGAAAAGTCAGGCAACATTATTAGATATAGAACATACACTAAGTTTCCTAGATACTTAATCTAAACAAGCTAATACCCCTATTAGCACAATTTGACCTACCCACATCTTCCAGGGAGAATATATTTAATAGCTTATCAAACATAATAGACTCCTCCCTTTCAAACTCTAGCTCAATGAAGATGGTGCTGTAATAGAAAAATAAAAGCAAACTACAAAACATATGAACAAACCAAGAACTAGTTGAGTCAAAATCAGCAATCTATCTGCACTATTGTTCCTCTTATCAATAAGTAGACCCTTCCCCTTTATTAGTTCCATTGGCAAATAAATACCAGGAAAAAAAAAGAAAATAATTTTAAAAAACAACATAAAAATTTTGAAAAGAAATCCTAAAACCAATTCCAATATTGTGATTAATGGCAAAATATAACAGATATAATTTGTAATACAAATAGATATAAACATAGAAAAGTGACTTAGTTTAGCATAAGAAAGAGTTAATAAGACGAACTAAATAAATCAAATAATACAAAGCAACAATGATATGCATAATTTGATGCAATAACAACCTGTTGGTTAATTGGTGCTCCCCCATAGGCAACTACCACCTTGACACCAGTTTGATATGAGAATTTTTTGGCCTCATCGTGTATCTGAAAGTGTATTATTATCAGAACAAAAACACATCAAACCATTCTAAGAGATTACATGTCCTAAGAATCTCACCTGACAAGAAAGCTCCCTTGTGGGAGATAGAATCAGAGCAAGAGGGTAAACAGTTCGTGCTACACGCGGTCTCTGTACATACTGCTCCCGCATAATTCCACTAATAATTGGAAAGCAAAAAGCAGCTGTCTTCCCTGATCCAGTTTGAGCACAAGCCATTAAATCTCTTCCTCCTAATGCAATAGGGATAGCGTGACGTTGAACTGGAGTCGGTTTCACATATTTGCACCTCCTAATGTTTTGATTCAACATTTCCCCTAAATCTATCTCAGCAAATGTATTTACAGGCGGTGGTACATTTTCACCACTAGTTTCCACCGGAATATCCTCATATGCATCGAAATTGATCCCCATATTCTCTTGTTCAGTAAAACCTTGTTCCCTATCATCAACTTCATCATCATCACCAAATGGGTTTACTTCCCTTTCTCTCCTATCCCAACCTCCACTTCTATTATTCCAACCAACGCCGCTGCCACCTCTTCCAGCTCCAGCATAACCATACCCCTGACCCTGACGCCCGAATTCAGGCTTAGTCCCGCCACCGCCGCTCCAACGGGGCCACTGGGGCCCACCAGCGGTCCCGCTAAAACTTGCCCTCTCACTGGCCGGACCTGACAAGTTAGGTACGTCGGAAGCTGGACGGTTACGAAGGTGGGGCGGGACATAAGTGGATCGAGTTGGAAGAGATAAGGAATTGTTGTCTGAAACTGCAATTTCAGATACAGCGTTTGTCACAGAATCTGCCCATGAAGTTCTCATAATTTCACAAACCTAAGAAAACCAAAAAAAAATCCTAACAAAACCTAATCCAACCAAAATAAAAAAACACAACCCAAAATTTCAAATCCTCCAAAAAGTCTTATTATCCTTTCCCTTTTTGTAGATCAGACCTGATCAAAGAAAATGCAAGCAAAGTCAACAAATAAAAAACATTAACAAAAATATTAAAAAATGCAATTAATATAAGCTTAAAAAAAATCAAAATATCATGAAAATGCAAAAATAAAATAAAAACTTACAAAGAAAAATATTAAAACAAAAACAACGAGAATTTATGAGAGAAACGGCAGAAACCTTGTTGGAATTTCTGTTGCAAGATGAGGTCAGTCAGAAAGGAGAAAAATCGGGTGTCTTCATTTTTTTCTTTTGTGTGTTGCTACTTTTATAGTTTTCAGAAACCAGATCAAAGCATTTTCTTTCTTGGTTTTTTCTTTTCTTTTCTTTTCTTTTCTTTTCTTTTGCTTTGGTGTTGCGCGCAGGTTGCAGCTAGAAACGAGAGAGAGTGAGAAAAAATCTACAAAATGTAGTTTGGTGACCGTACAATTTGGGGCTTGCGTCATAATTAAAAGCTCCCCCAACGGGCAAACGGCGTCTTAAATTTGTTTCTAATTATGGATTTTCATTTTAAGATAATAAATTGAATTTTTAGTTTATCTTTTAATTTCTCTACTTAAAATATGAACTTATATTCAAAGATTTAATTAAATAAAAAAATTAATTCAGCTTTTTAAAGATATCAAATTATGTATATAGACATTAATTCAAACCATTTATTCTTGACCAAAAAAAATCTTTAATTTCATTTATTTATACTCTATTGAATTAGATGAGATTTAATCTTAAAACGATGGTATAATAAAATTCTTCTCATAAATTATTTAAATGAAATCTTATTAGATATGATGACAGCATCTAAAAGAACTACACAAATTTATTTAATTAATCAATACTGATTAAAATTTTTCTTAGTTAAATATCTTAACTACTAACTAAATTTCAAATTTTTAATATTTTACTCATAATATTAGCCTTAGAAGTTTCTTTTTTTTTTTTTCAATAGAAATCGATTTTTGTCCAAGTAAATTCTTAAGTGAATTAGGTTGAGAAAGTGCATTTTTAAAATAAAAAAAGATTAATTTTAAACAAAATCTTAAGATAAGGTATTATAAAAAATAAAATGTTTAACTTTCTCTTTTATAGATACAATGATATATTACAATTCATTGATGTAGCTGTAAAGCTTTTAATTTTCATTACAATAATAATATAATTATTTTATGAGTTTTGTTAATAAGTACCTTAATGATATCTTTTAAAATAATTATATAAATTAAATATAAAATATTATATAAATCATTAATTATTATTGTATTCAATTTAAAGTTATTATTATAACTAACACTTTAAAAAAAAATGCCACAATTATTAATAGAACTCTTATTCTTATATATCAATAATTAACGATAAAATTTAAATGGATATGCGTATTTATATATTGAAATTTTATTTTATATACTGTTAATAAATATTTTAAATTTCATTAACGAGATTAGAGGGTTATTATATATTCTTGTAGATTATATTAAAAAAATAAATTTGTTTTATATACACAATTGATGAAAATTTTAAACTAGCAAAAATAAAAGAATGTCATGCCTATGTTTCTTTTCTTTCTTTTTTTTTTTCCTTTTAACTATGTTAGTCTTTTAATTTTTTATTATACTTTAAAAGAGAATGTGATAACTTTTTTATTTTGTTGAAAGAGTTTAAAAACACTATCAATACTTTTCATCTTGTTGGAAGAGTCAAAAAACATTATCAATACACCTTTATATAAAAAGAATCTCTTAAGGGATTTAGAATGCCACATATATTTTGATCAAGTTGGGGTTTTATCAATAAAAAAGTTCTTTCAAATGATATATGTATCTTCTTCCATTGTTTTTATCTTTGACATATGTGTTTTTAATTGCAATTTCATAGGGTTTTTTTTTTTTTAGGTTTTTATTGCTGCTTTAAATAGTGAAGCTTTTGGCGTGAAAAAGAGGTTCTCAATTTCTTTCATTTTTTTCAACTGTTTTTAGATAAAATCTATGGTTATTTTTCATTATTTAATTGAATATGGATTTTTTTTTATTTTCTTGAGTTAATTTTACTGTTAACATTTTTATTTTGTTTAATGAAATTAAATTGTTAAATGGGGCTTGAGTTTTGTGATTATGAAGTTTGCTTGTTATTGTGAATGTATTTTTTTTTTTGGAAGAATTTATTTTTGTATATTGTGATGTTGAATGAAAATAAGATTGTTGTTTATAGAAAAATAGTTATACAGTACATAATTTGTATTTTCTTTTGTTATTTTGTCTTTGACACTTGTGTTTTAATTATGATTAAATTTTTTTTTTTTTTGGTTTTTATTGCTCCTTCAAAAGAATGGAGCTTTTTTTATTGTGAAAGAGAGGTTTCTTAGGTTTTTTTTTTTCTTTTTCTTTTTTAGATGTTTTTGGGTAAAATTTATGGCTATTTTTCATTGTTTAATTGAATGTGGGGTTTTTTTTTTAGTTTCCTTATGATGATTTTATTGTTACACATTTTCATTTTGTTTAATGGAGTTGGATTGTTAAATAAGATTTGGGTTTTGTGGTTATGAAGTTTACATGTTGTTGTGAATATATTTTTTTGAAAGAATTTCTCTTTGCATGTTGTATTGTTGGACGAAAATAAAATTATTGTTTATAGAAATATAGTTTTGATGTGCATAATTTTGTGCTTTTTTAAAAGTATTTTGTTTTGCATGTTATTTGAATGAAATTATGATTTTGTTTTTTATAGATTTTTTGTTTTTTTTTTTGCCTTAGGGTTTTTAAAGCTTGTTAGATATTAAATTTTCGATTTAGTATGAATTGTATTGTGTATTGTTTTCTTTTATTTATTGTGTATTTTGGTTATATTTGATTTTGGTCTATCAAGTGATTAATTGACGTACTATATGAGTTAATGATATTAGTTTGAATAAAACTATTTACGATATTTGAAAGGTTGATTGTTTGTCACAGATAGAGTTGATGTTTAATTGTGGTATAATTGTATAATTGTGTTTTTGTAGGAGTATTTTGTTTTGAATGTTATTTGAATGAAGTTATTATTTTGTTTTCGATTGATTTTTTTTCGTCTCAGGGTTTCTTGAAGCTATTTAAATATTAAGTTTTCAAATTAGTATGAATTGTATTATATATTGTTTTTATTTATTTATTTATTATGTATTTTAGTTATTTGACTTCTACTTATCAAGTGGTTGATCTAAAGTACCATATGAGTTGATGATATTAGTTTGAACAAAACTATTTGTGGTATTTGAAGGGTTAATTGTTTGTCAAAGATGGAGTTGATGTTTAATTGTGAGATAATAGTAATGAAAAAAAAAAAAAAGAAGGAAAGAACCAAAATAATTTCTCCATGTATTTATGCATGGTTTGGTATTTTCCATCATAGGATTGTGCATATCTTGGAATGCTCCAGCAACTAACAATTACATCTTCTCGGTCCATCTTATACTTATTCAATATTCCCAATAACTAACTTGGTGATAAATTTATCATGCTTGGGTTTGACTGCAAAGACAATGAAGTTCAAAAAAACTACTTTTTCATCGTTCATCACAGCACAATAATGCTAGATATGAAGTCAAAATTAAATTATTTCACCTTAGAGAGTATGTTTTAAGTAACACAAATTTGGCATGGATGTTTAGTCAAAGGAAAGTGATTACATATAAGATGTAGGACAAGAAAAATTACAAGTGGACTATAAATCATTTTCTCTGAAAATATAGGTTATAAATTCTATGGCTTAATGCAGCTCATATAGAACTTAGTTTAGATTCCCCACTCACTTGTAGACGATGAAGATATTCATATGAATTCGTGTAGAAATCTTTCAGGGACAAAAGAGTATGTTGCTTACTTTGAAAACCGCATTCAAACTGTAGATGTTGAATTTAACAAGTTTAGTAGTTTCAATGCTTTAGTAGTGATAGTACAATGATAGACCTGGAAGATGAATGGCATTGAATTGTGGAAACTAGGGGCTTTATTCATAAGAAGCGATCGATTAATAGTTTCTAGATGCTCATTTTACGGTAAAATTTAAAACTATCTACAATTAGTATTTGGTTTGGCAAACAAACAATACCATGTTCTTGGGCTTTGGTGGTGCTATATTTGGATATTTTTATGCACTGTGGTGGGATTATTCTATAGGCCAAATTGATCTAATCCTTTACTTGCAGTGCTGCTGCATGTTGAGCATTCACTGATGCATGCATTAGGCAATTGTTTCGTATTTTCATTGAATGTTCTAATTATAATTGCAATAATATATTTCTTTTTTATGAGCATTGTGTGGTATATGAATGGTGTATACAGTCCAATATTTGCAGAGATTGTCCCTGAGAAATCCCGAACAAGCATCTATGCCTTGGATCAATCTTTCGAGTTTAGACTGGCATCTTTTGCTCCACGTATAGTTGGGATTTTGGCTCAGCATGTTTACGGTTATCAACCCATATCCAAAGGATCATGAGACTCCATGGAGATTGAGACGGATAGAGAGAATGCTGCATCACTTGCTAAGGCACTTTACACAGCAACTGGGATTCCAATGGCAATCTGTTGCCTCATTTACTCATTCCTTTATTGCATAAGAGACCGGGAGAGAGCAAGAATGCAAGCATTGATAGAATCAGAAATGCAACAACAAGAGGAAACTAATTCTTCATCAAGTGGCAGGCAATCCGAATTTCATGCCGAAAACTCAAAAGATTTGGATGGCAAGAAAAGAAGTGAAGTTTATATATAGCTTGAAGAGAAGGAGAGCCTTGATTTAAGTGATAATGATGAGAAGTCCCTTCTGAATCATCACCAGCTTAACTCTCGAACTTAGAAGGCAGATAAACACGTTAGGTGGAAACTGAGATTGGTTTGATAGTAATTTTGGTTTGCTTAACGGTAAGGAATCTTCACTCATTGATATTAAGCTAGGGAGATTGACTGATTATACAGATGCACATGATGGCAAATTTTTGAAGGAAACTTCTATTATTTCTTTAGTTCGTCCAGCTTTGATGGTGAAGAAAACTCCAACGACAAGCTTAAATTTTTGTACTCCTTGCTATCAAGTTTTTGGTTGTAGCAAGGATCTTAGCTCCTCCAAAGATTACCACAAGAGGCATAAGGATTGTGAGGCCGACTCTAAGACTGCCAAAGTCGTTGTTAATGGAATTGAACAAAGATTCCATCGGCAGTGTAATGAGTTGGTTTTTTTTTACTCTTTTGCCCTTCAATTTGATTTTATTGTATTTGAAATTTTCTTCCCTATTGATGATATTATTTTTGGAAGAAATAATTAGTGATAAGATATAAATGATATATTTTAACAAATGAAAGGACCTTGCCCTTGTTTATAGGGATACTCAAAGTTTCAAAGGAGGCAATGAAACCAATTTATAAAAATTGTTTAGAACGCAAATAAATTAGTACGGGTGTTACCTTTACAATTTTCCTATCTTTCAGCCTGCATGTAGGTTTGTTTCCTGCAAATTTAACTTTTTTTTTTTAAGGAAAGAGAAAACAGAATTGTTTTATATCATTTTAATTCTTCAATACTTATCGTTTTCCTTAAAAACTTAAAATTAAAAAAAAAAGAAAAAAAGATTCACAGTAATTTTTAGAAGTCGTAAAAATGACAAGCCATTGGGGGTAATAAGGTAATTTTATTAAAAAGTAGCTTAAACTTAGATCTGCGCCGGACAATCACAACCCTACACGCTCCACTCGCTGCCTCAATTCACGCGCCCCCTCAACTCGTCTACGTGACAGGAACAAGGGAGTCGGAAAGAGAGTGATAGAGAAAAAAACGAAAAACAAAAAGAGTATTTAAAACGAAAAAAAAAAAAATGAAAATTTCCCAATCCAAACTAGGGTTAGGGTTTCCCTAATCCGCAAAACGATTTCCACGCTCGATTCTTTCAACTCATAAATCAAAGATGGGCGCTAATCCTTCACCAACAGACTCAACCACCGATCTCGATGAGCAGATCTCGCAGCTCATGCAGTGTAAGCCGCTTTCGGAGCAGCAGGTACCTTTTCTTCCTCATGATCTGTTTGTTTCCCAAGAAAGTACGGAATTTTTTGAAGAATTAATACAATAATTTAATTTTTTAATTTGTGAATAATCGATTAGCCTTTGTTTCACTGCGAAATGAATATCCGAAATTATTTGGAATTGAATTTATTTTATCTTTTATTATTGCAATATTTAGTAGTAATTTTTATTTCTGTTTAAAATTTAATTTAAAGTTAATTGAGTTAAGGAATAAAAAGTTAGAAAAAGAAAATCATTTTTTGATTTATTTGATGTTGGTAATTTCGAAAGAATTAGGGGTATTTTCACGGAAAAATGTTGTTTGTTTAAACTGCTCTGACTGCCAGATTTTTCTTCATTTGATTTTAATTATGTTGTTCTCAGTTTGATCAATTGACGTCCTTTCTTTTCTTCCCTGTTTCGTCTTGTAATAGTAACTGTATTTGTTTTCCTGTTGCTTTGTTTAGGTCAGAGCATTATGCGACAAGTCCAAGGAGATTTTAATGGGAGAAAGCAATGTCCAGGTTTGTTATTTGAGTCTTGCTTATGTTTAGTCTCTAATTCCAGGCATCTGTAATCTATATCTGTTTATTTACCGACGTGTTTTGAAGATGTTGAGATTGCTCATCCTTTAACTGGGAAAACATTGATTTGTTTTGTTTTTATTTTTTTTTCACAGCCTGTGAAAAGCCCTGTGACAATTTGTGGGGATATTCATGGGCAGTTTCACGATCTAGCAGAACTTTTTCGAATTGGAGGGAAGGTATTTGTACTGACTTTGACTTTTTTTTTTTAATTTAATTCTACTTTTTTAGCTGAGGGAATGTGTAAAATAATTAGTTCAGTCCTCAATGTTTTGAAGATTGGAGCTCTGCAGGGGTATCATGATTGAGCAAATGTCACTGTAGTGAGGATATTTTTAATTTATGCTCTTTTGAATGCGTTAGGCATGTAAGCTTTTTGTCTTCAGCATTTTCATACATAAGAGTTCTGTTTTGATAAAATTTTTCTTCTTAATGATTTGCCTCTTTTGATCATTAGATAGTGACCTTATTATAGGCATTTGGGCATTCTTAGGATGTATTACACTTATCATATGCTTGATTTATCTCATATGTTACACAATTTTGCTATGTTTTTCCATGTGCTCATGATCAATCTTTTGATTGAGCCTATGCCTTACAGTTGGTTTGGTGCTAATTGACAGTGTCCGGATACAAACTACTTGTTTATGGGAGATTATGTGGATCGTGGGTACTATTCTGTTGAAACTGTTACGGTATGTACATGTTAAATTGCAAACTTCATTTTTCTACCCTTGTCATGAAAATTTGTATTCAATTTCTGCTAAAATATGGTCTAGATATATTACGGAGAAATTTGAAATTTTGGATAAGACTTTTAAAGGTTTTTGCTGCTATTTGTGTGAATGAAATTTGGCCACATCATCCTATCTGCACCAGAAAAGAACACTTGACTTGGTTTGATATCAGTGGCCTTTAACGCTATGAATTTGAGATGCCTTTGCCTTTTGGAAGATTCTGATTGTTGTTGGGCTAATAACTCTGGTTAGAGAGATGGTGAGTTATATTAGAGTTTTCCTTTGGATTTAGATGACTGCATTTTCTCTTATTTATCACTTTTGGTTCTCTATCTAGTGGAAGCACTTTAAAGTTGCTATAATTCAGGAAGAACATGATGAGAAGCTTTTTTGTTTTTTCTGGTAGGCTTTATCACTACCTTTCACTTCAATGAGAGTATACTCCATGTTAGATTGATGCCAGATATTTCTTAAACAGTGGAGTCAAACAATGTTGCCTGCTGTTACTTTTTCTGTTCATAAAGATGCATATTATATTAAGTTCATAGGCGGTTTTACATTTGCTAGTATAATCTTTGTAAATTGAGATCAATAGAAAACTTAAGTGGTTAAGCCACTTATGCATTCCATTTGGATGATACTAATTGTTTGCTCCTTCAGCTATTAGTGGCTTTAAAGGTCCGTTATCCACAGCGGATTACCATTCTCAGAGGAAATCATGAAAGCCGCCAAGTATGAAGTTTGCATCATCTTCCAGGCCTTCGCTCCTTTCCAAACACGTGCACATACACAACGGAAAAGTTTGACAATTTATGATTTTATATTTTGCATATCTGAGTTTTAATTCAAAGTTTGATATGAACTTTTGACCAATTATCATAGTGAATGTCAAGCTAATTCTTGAGTCATTCCTTTTCTTTTTGGCAGATTACTCAAGTTTATGGGTTTTATGATGAATGTCTGCGAAAGTGAGTTCTATGCACAACCTTCGTTTCAAAGGCTGTAGTATTTTGAACATAGATCTACTAGTTTTACTAAATGTTTTCTTATCCTTTATCTTTTTTGTCTCTTTTATTTTCAATCATATTTTTTAAACTGATTCTTTTTTCCAGTTAAGAAAATAAAGTCATATTGTATTTGCTTTAATTGATATGATATATAAACTAGTAGATATGATTTTCTAAAGGTATACCCTTTAGCTCAATTGCAGTCACGTGGACACAATATAGTTGCTTCTTACTCTTGCAAGTCTGTGATAATACTTTTTCTGGTGATTTACTTACAGGTATGGCAATGCTAATGTTTGGAAGATCTTTACAGACCTTTTTGACTATTTTCCATTAACTGCTTTGGTGAGTAGAACTAATATAAGGTGCATCTATTTTGATTTCAAGTAATTGCAATGTAAATTCCATGAAAGAAAGAACTAAGGACATACATATCAGCCTTATTCTTTTTTATATTTGACATTTATGTTTTAGTGGGCTTCTTTTTCGTTTGGCTTTGCTGTTGACCACTATTGTTGCCCTCCATACTTTTTATTGTTGTGGTATTAGTACTGTATTATCGTAGTTTAAAATATTCATTCCTATTTCAGTTTTGGATTTGAATGGCTCACATTGTCTTTTTGATTGGGCAAGAAAAAAGTTGGGATTTACAGCTTGCTATCTGTAATCTCATTGTAAAGCATATCGAGATCATTCTAAGCAGAAACTAGAAGTCTCTTAGTTCCTAACTTAAAAAATGACATAAAAACTGTTATTGAAGCAGTTGGCTGTTTCTTGTTGTATTTATGTTTAAGCTAGAATAAAGACACTGCTAAAAATTTCACTAATTTTACTGCACAAGGAGATTAATTATTCAACGATCATTGTAAAATCAAGATAACCAACTTTATTATTATATTTTTTTTGTCCTGGTTAAAGAGATATAAAGCCTTTGTAATGTTCATAGTTAACTTTGTACCTCCTAGAACTGAAGTGGAAATGATGGGAGTTAAAATGATTTTGGTGTTTCCATTCACTGATGTAGTACTGTTTTCTTCATTTTAGGTGGAGTCAGAAATATTTTGTCTGCATGGTGGATTGTCCCCTTCAATTGAAACCCTAGATAATATAAGAAACTTTGATCGTGTTCAAGAGGTTCCTCATGAAGGACCCATGTGTGATTTATTGTGGTCTGACCCTGATGATAGATGCGGTTGGGGTATCTCACCACGTGGTGCTGGATATACCTTTGGCCAGGTAACTAATGTTCAGAGTGACCATTCTTTGATGTTTTTGTGGTTGCCTTGCCTTTTATTTATTTATTTTTTAATTTCATAATGTTTCATTTTTCTCTGCAGGATATATCTGAACAATTCAATCAAACAAACAGCTTAAAATTGATTGCTAGAGCTCATCAGCTGGTTATGGATGGATTTAACTGGGCACATGTAAATCATGATTCTGAAAAATTAAATGATTATTATTTTTGCTTTTATGCTCAGTATAAACTGCTTCGGGTTTTTGAATTCACAGTTATTTCCTTGGAACAGGAACAAAAGGTGGTTACTATATTTAGTGCCCCTAATTATTGTTATCGCTGTGGAAACATGGCTTCTATCTTGGAAGTTGATGATTGCAAGAGTCACACATTCATCCAGGTCTTTCTTTTCTCTCCTCATTTTCCTCTTTCTTCACCTCTTGTTTTCCTTTTCCCATCCATGCATGCACGTGTACACAAATAAAGGTAAAAGAGCAACAGCTAACTTTTGAATTGAATCTTGGATGCTTGTTTGTTTGTTTGTAAAATTGTTGAGTATATCTTGCTGCAGTTTGAACCAGCTCCAAGGAGAGGAGAACCAGATGTTACTCGTAGAACACCCGATTACTTCCTCTGAAGCAGCTATGTCATAACTGATTCAAGATACTCTACTACTTTTCCTCGTCTCCTCCCTCCCCTTACTTAGTCAGGTAGTTGTGGATCCTTTGCAGAAATCTGCCAGTTAAATGCCATGTTTTTTTGGCTGATGGTGGGCACCGAAAGCATGTATACTAGGCTAGGAAGATGGCCTTTAATCCATCATAGACATTCTGTCAAAGAGACTGCCTAGCTGATGACAGACTGACGCTATCAGAATGTATTATGTAGATATTTGTGTTTCCCTCGATTTTTTTTTTTTGCCCGTTGTTTTTGGTTCATCCTATCTTTTTGGGCTCTCTACCGGAGATTAAAAAGTTTAATGTTTAGTCGGCGTTTTACCTTTTCTTTCGCCACTGACTCAAATGAGTACTCTTTAACAGATTGTGATTCTGTTTGGATTTTGTAATTTGTATCGGAGAAGAAGAATTTAACTAGATTTTGACTAGAATGGCTAGTCTGTTGGTGGAATTTGTCTCGGAGGAAGAGGTAGAATTCTGTACTTTCTCTAGTTGGTTGAATTTTGAGATTGATGAATTAGACTTTGAATGGGGAAAGCTATGTTTGGAAGTTGTCCCAGGCCCCGCGTTTTCTAATTTCACCTTTTTCAAAGAGATTGGGCTGCACAAGGAAAGAGAAGCATATATTACTTTAGAGAAAAAGTGTCCATGGCTTGGCTACATGATCCCTTGTTCTTTGCATTTGCCTCACCAAATCCTCACTACGACAACGTTAAGATTTAAGTTTCTCAACATCACAGGCAAAAGCTGTTGTTCTGTTATAATTAACATTGATGTTAGAATATAATCTGAAGTTTAGCTCACTTAATGCGTATAATTATTCTTAAAAATTAGTATCCAGTAGATGTGAAAATTTAATTTCAGCATCTGTGATTATTCCCCTACTTTCACACTCGTCAAGACTGAATTTCTTTTCATTAGAGTGGATCGTTTGTGTGAGTTTTCATCTAAGTCGTCGATATCTATAAATTGTATGTGGCACAGTGATACGGGCACTACTTGTACAATAAAAATGTTACTGTGAAATAAAAAAAAAAATTGTGTATACTAGTAATTCAAAAGTGGTTGAATGGGCATTTAATGGGAGTGATTCATGGTTGTAAATTGTAATGGGGGCATATATTAATTATCTCTTTAGATTGTTGTTTTTAAACTCTTTACTCATTTTGTTGGGATGCATACGGTACGCCAATCTTCACGTTACTAGTAGTAAATTCTTAAAATTGCAAAACACTCATCATATTTTGCTTGCAAAATCTAATCAAATATGCAAAATTCAGTGTTTACTATAACAGTCAAAGAGTATGTTTCGATCAACTTAAAATATTATTTTAAAATAGAAAAATAAAATATAAACGATTTTTTAATCATTAAGGGATAAAATCTATTCTCTACGTGTTAAAAGTATCCCTAAGGAGTTAACAGCTGTCTTGACTTACGGGTTATGTGGGCTTTTAGATATGAAAAATGTGTCATATTTAACTGCTTATATTTTTTTGGATATGGTGGGCTTTAGGGTTTGTAATATCTTGAGTTATTGTTTATTGGATTGCTTTAATTTGTTAAATGAAAGCCCCAATTCAAACGATAGATCAAAACATAATAAGTACACAGACTTTCTACACCATCCAGTTAAAGCATTTATTGTTGAATCAGTCTATACTTGGAAGAAAACTAAGAATTCCACAGACTAAAAGGCTGTAAGCCTGTGAGTTCTCTCATCCCATATGCTAGTGAGGATGAAAAATCAAAGAAAAAGAAGCAAGCATCCAAGACAAAGCAAAAAGACTGTCAGGGCAGTGGACTTCCATGTTTACTATGGATATTTATTTGGTTGACATCACGTCTTACCTTCATATAATTTTATCTCCATGTTTACTATAGATGTTTATTTGGTTGACATCACAGGTGAGAGATTTTACTGTATTATTTGCACCCCAATTTCTTCTCAATACATCTTAAAAATTATATTATAAATTTAATTTTTAATAAAATTATTTAAATATTTATTAATTAATTATTTTTTTTATCTTTTACATCTTCTTTTGAAAATAAATTTTTGGAAGCTCTTAAATGTTTTCGAAAATGAATGTTTGGAAGAGTTTAAGAACTTTTAGAAATAGATTTTCAAAAATTCTTAAAGGTTTTTATATATTTATTTTTGAAAACTTTGGATTTTCAAAAAATTTTAAAGACTTATAGACATTTATTTTTGAAAATTTTTAAAATTTTTTTGATATTTATTTTTAAACATTTCGAATAGCACTCAAATATTTTAACATAAAATTTTATGAAATTAAAGATAAAATTAAATAAAAAAGTAGAGAGAATAAATTATTTACTTTCGATTTTATACTTTTTAATTTCAAATAGGTGAAGTTTCTTATGATTTTGGCTTGATTAAAATTAAAATTCTTTTAAGATTTTTTGTTGAGAAGAAAGAGTGGAGATGTAGCGTGAGAGAAAGGAAGATGAGGTATTTGGGTTTTTTTGATAAATTTATGTTTTGGATGTGAGGTGTGTTGAGTAAAAAATTAAATGTTAAAAATAAAAGGTGTGTTAAGTAATTGTAAGGGTGCAAAAAACAATAATCTTTTACCGAATGTTAAGGGTGAGTTGAGGAAAAAAATAAATGAGGAAAGATTTAAAAGATGAAGAGATTTGTCAAAAAATAATGACAATAATCAATTAAAAATAAATCAGAAAAGATCTAGAATGGACGAATCTTATCCTCTCTCTCTTTATATATATATATATATAAACATACAAAATATAAATTATTAAAATACTATTTAAATTAAATAAAAAAATCCCCGAGAAAGCGGGGTTATCGTTCTAGTAGTAAGATGAAAAGAAAATAAATTAAAACCACATCTATAAACATATATTTAAAGTGAGCTCAAGCAATTGAAATTTGAGTTGACATCTGTCCAATTTTAATTTCTTGACATGTGTTTTATTCAATTGTTTTACTTAATTAATTAATTAAATTAAAACGGGGAAAGACAGAAGGCAAAGCTTATGGATGGAAAAAAGAAGCTTATGGAGACAACTTGTTATTTATTAAATTTTTAATATAATCAATTTTCTTAGATTTTTTTAAATTATTAGTTTTAGGTATGTGCATGACACGTGTAATTTTTATTTTTAAAAATTTATCTCAATAAATAATTTTTTTATGTTATGATAATAATAATTACAATTATTAACAATTTAATTTTAATTTTGGTATAACATAGGTAAAATTTGATAATTTTTTGTATACTTTTGAAAATAATGATAAACACTACCAATTTAATTTGTATTTTTTATACTCTAAGAAATTTTTGTTAACTTTTGATATAATTTTGATTTCGATAATTTTTTATAAAATTTGGGTAATCTTCGATACAATTTTAGTAACATTCAATATTAGTTTGATAATTTAAGATATAATTTTGATAATCATTGGTACAATTTTGATAATCTTTGATAAAATTTTGGTAATTCCTTGATCTCACTTTGGTAATTTTTTGGCAAATTATTATATACTTTTGATAATTATTGATAAAATTTATGTCATTATATATTTGACAATGGATTCCTTATAAGGAAACGAGAGTTTAGTTATAGTATAAGATAATTTTTTTTATATAATAATATTATTATTTCATTCAAATTTTAAATTTTTTATTAAATAGATTCACGGTAAATTTATCATGGCTTCTCAAAATGAAATTTGTAGCTTCATTTTTGCTAGTAACCAATATTCAATTCCGAATAACTTCAAGTATAACAAATTTATCAATAATTGATAATTAAGTTATTATTGTTTTAGTATTATTTTATTATTGATTTACTACTAAGCTATCCATGATATACTACTAAATTAGTATTGAAGTACTATTACTTTATGAATGATTTACTATTAAGTTATGAACAATTTACTAATAAATTTTTAATAATTTACTACTAAATTATTGATATTTACTATAAAGTTACAATTGATTTATTATTAATTTATCGATAAGTTATTATAAAGTTATCACTGATTAACTAATTTACTATAAAATTATCACTAATTTACAATTAAATTAGCATTGATTTACAACAATTTATTATTGATTTACTACTAAGTTATTAATGATTTACTATTATGTTATCATTAATTTACTATTTAGCTTTTTATTATTTATTATAAAATCATTATAGATTTATTATTAAATTAACTATGATTCATTACCAAATTATGACTAATTTATATTAAATTATCCATGATTTATTATTAAGTTACATGATTAACTATTGATTTATCGATGATTTACTACTTCTAAGTTATATTAATTTATTTTTAAGTTTTCAATTATTAATTAATAAATTATCATTGATTTACTACTAAGTTATTCATAATTTACTACGGAGTTTATCAACTAATTACTATTAAATTGAAATTGATTTACTATTAAGTTATCACTAATTTACTATTAAATTATCATTAATTAATTATTAAATTATCAATGATTAACTATTGAGTTATCATTTATTTTTTAGTAACCTATAATTGATTTATTAATATGTTATTATGCATTTACAACTATACAATATGATATCTAAAAAGTCCAATAATAGTATATGAGATAATTTTATTTAATATAATAAAATTATTGTTTTATTCAAATTTAAAAATTTTAACTAATTTTTTTTATTGAATAGATTTATGGTAGGTTTATCCTAATCCTAAAATAAAAGTTTTGAATTTATTTCTGCTAATAACTAGGGTTTAATCCCTAATGACTTCGAGTATGAAAAAGTTATCAATAACTAACAATTAAGTTATCAGTAATATACTACTAAGTTATAAATGATTTAATATTAAATTATCAATGATTTTTTACTAATTTATGAATAATTTGCCATTAAGTTTTAAAAATTTATCATTAAATTATGAGTGATTTCTATTAAATTGTTGTTAATTTACGATTAAGTTATTGATAATTTATTATAAATTTATAACAGATTTATTACTAATTTATTGATGATTTATTAAAAAGTTATCAAAGATTAACTAATTTACTACTAAATTATCATTGATTTATAATTAAGTTATTTGTAATTTATTATTAGTTATTAGTGATTTATTAGTAACTTATCAATTTACTACTAAATTATAAATGATTTACTATTATATTTTTATATATTTATTACTATGTTGTTATTGATTTACTACTAAATTTTTTATTATTTACTAAAAAATTATCACTGATTATTGTTAAATTATCTATGATTCATTATCATATTATTATTGATTTATATTAAATTATGCATAATTTACTGTTAAATTATCACTAATTAACTATTAAATTATCGATAAATTATTATTAAATTATACTAATTTACTTTTAAACTTTCAATGATTAACTATTAAATAATCATTATTTACTACTAAATTATCATTTATTTGCTAATAAGTTATTTATGATTTACTGCTATCAATTAATTACTATTAAGTTTAAACTGATTTATTAATAAATTATCAATAATTTATTATTAATTTATTATTAATTTATTACTAAGTTATCAATAATTAATGACTAAGTTATAGCTTTTTTTTTTGTTAAGTTATTTTTAATTTAGTATATGTTGTTATGCATTTAGAATTATATTATAGTTGTTTTACCATTAAAATATTATGCATTTATTATATTATTATTGATTTACTAAAAAAAATATAAACTATTAACTACTAAATTATCATTTATTTACTATTAAATTATTATTAGTTTACTACTAAGCTATACTGATTATATTTAAGTTTTTAACTATTAATTACTAAGTTATTATTGATTCTAAATTATCATTTATTTACTGCTATGTTATTATTGATTTTTGTATATCAAAAAAGAAAATAACCACAATGTCTGCTAGTTGATGTAATTTGTATAATAGAAAAAGAAAATAATAAAAAGTTTAAGTGTAAATAACTGAAAAAGCATTAGTAAGTTATCTTAATTTACTATCTGT